TGTTTTATTTCTCAACGTCCTATTAGAGAGTAAATGTTTTTGCCTACACATAAGTTATTGGGTAATCAAGGTACGCCACATAAACCGGATATAGTTAGTTCTCTTATTTTATTTAGAAAAATCTTTATTTTCATTATAAAAATTCGAAATAAATCTGAACGATAATTGTCTTTATATTATACATGACTTTCGCTACGGAATATGTGAGGTGAATGCAACCCACGGAACGATTTGAAATCTACCCTTTTTTCCATTTTTTACCAATCAATTGGGAGTAATTTTTTTAAATGGTTTTAAACATCTCTGCTTAATGTTTTTCAAGTGCGTTTTTGTTCAACGAAAAGATAGCAATTTTTATGTCACATTAATGAAATTATTTTAGTCCTAAGGCGTATATCCTATTGAATATGGATTGGATTGGAATATATTTTTTTGGAAGGGTATCCACTTAGCACCAAGTAAGACGTCATAGTTGCCTACCAAAATCCCTATATCACTTTACCTAATGCCGAGCTGTCGATCTCGGCGTATGGGTGGAGGCGCATATCCTATTGAATATGGATAGGATTTGAATATTTTTTCGAAAGCTATCCATATACCACCAAGTAAGACGTCATAATTGCCTATTTCCTAAACCTCTATATTGCTTTACCTTAAACAAGGCTGTCGAAATCGTTTAAACTTGGCCGTAATTTATACACTTCCGACGATTAACGACTCACTGTAACGACTAACTCGTTTATAGCTGCCGATAAGGAATGCATTCTGTTTTGCTGTCGCACTGCAAAACTTTCGATCGTAAAATTTTAAATTACGATCGAATTTACGCGATATAAGCAGCTGTAAAACAGCCATAGTTTCTTCATTATAATCTCTCAAAAATTATATAACATCAATAATAGTTCACTTATGCGGGAAAAGACACGAGGAAAATATCTATGTAATCCATACATACCGTATATGTATGTGAAATCTGGTGTCTTGCGCCAACTTGCGTGTGAAACTAAAACAAATTAAAACTTGTTGGCGTATGAATGTTTTTTTTTTTTTTTTGAAAGAAGGTATGGAGAAAACTTTAAAGAATAGTCCCGCCCCATCTAAAGTTCTACATTCATCGATTTTTGTGCAAAATCACTGACAGTCACAAATTTTCTTCGCTACATGGCAATGGTCGTAAATATGACGCGAATTAATCCATTCTCAATAGTCTTCATCCAAAAGGTATCAATAAATATGCACCGTATATATATATACGTCAGATGGACAGATAGACAGACAAATGAGAGCAATTATAATGGCATTGTCTCAAACAAATCAAAAAAACATTGCTGACGATGGCTTCATCCAAAATATTATAGATGAAATTAGAAGATTCACTGAGAACTACCTACGAGGTTTAAGTATACACATCAAGAAACTCCATATTCACCTCAAAATTGTCCCGATATTGCATACATCCTCAAGAAAGTTGTTACGACCTTACTAGAGTTATTTCAGGAAGTGAAAGGTTGTTAACACTATTTAACACTGATTAACATATTACCCTTACACGAGAACCGAGAAGATATATTCTAGTATATAACATCCAGAAATATTCATAGGAGAGCCCATAAACTTTATGTATTCTTGATTAGCGAACAGCAGTCGAGTAGCCTGAGTCGATTCAATGAAATCTCTTTTCTTGTCCCTTATTTCGAAAAAACGAATGCCTCCAAAATTATCCTTAGTGTGTGCATGTGTGCTAAAAAAGTTAAACGATCGGATTTAGGAATAGGCGTCCAAGTAACTGTCCATCTGTCTTTCATTTCCGGAGAGGCTATTTATTGATAAGTTGGACTTGGTTTACATATATATGCTTGTAGTTTAGAAGTGAACATCCACTTGCCTATAAGCTGCAAACTCCAGCACATACCAGTGTAAAATCGCGTATGCAAATTGTCGATAATTTAAAATTTTAAGTGGAAACCAGATCTGACCTACATAGAGGGATATAGCTTACAATGTGGAACTAGTACTGAGTACAAATATTCTTTAAATAAAACGATTCTTATCACTCAGTTAAAATGCTTATGTCAAGGCTTAATATGGTGGATATTAAAAATTCGATAGAAAAGGAACATAATATAAATATATATATATATATATATATATACATTTTTTTTTTGTGTTATATGAAGACGGTTAAATTTTAGGGATCCCTTACATATATAAAATAAAAGTAAATTTTTTTGCTAAGTTGTTAACATGCTCATGGCTTTAGTTTATATCTTTTATTACAAAATTTTATTGCTTTCTTGGTTATTGCATATTCGCTTTTATATACACATGTGTAAAAGTAATCAGCGATTACGAAAGAAAAAAAAAACTATTAATCAAAACTGAAAAGAAGATGAAACGAGAGATAAAATGTCGATCTGCTTAAACAAGTGCAGCAATCTATAGTCTCTATATAGAAGTTTAAGCAAACTTTAAGATATATATATATCTATATATATATGGCTGCGTAAAAATACCCCTTATATATATATATATATCTATGTAGCAAATGCAAATACTTATGAACTAAACATATACATCACGTACTTATGCCAATACCATTTCATATGCATTCGAGCTTATCTGTAGTGAAAAGTGGTGGTAAGGTTTTGTCTTGTGTTTATATTTTGTTGTGCTTTATGCACGTGCTTTCCTGCGTGTGTGTGTGTGTGTGTGTGCTGGTATTACCATCTATCTTTAAGAGACACAAATTCTTCTATATATAGAGAATTTTTTTTTTCTTCCATTGAAATAAATGTAGAAAACTTGTTTACAACTTTATGCAATAATTTATAATAATACATTTATTTTCCTGATAGGAGTACAGACTACATATGTATAGTGTTTATACTGCACATGTACGAGCATGTTGTGGTTTCTTCTTCATAGATTTTCTATGTGGTTTGTGGGTTTTTTTTTCTTCTTTTTTTCTTCTTATATCTGTGGCTAAAACATGAAGATATATTGGATATCATGAACAGGTTGTAACATCTACTAAGTATTAGTTTGAAAGCATGCACAAAGATTGATGAGTAAAATCCTCGAAATCTTTTTAAGAATATTGTTAACGTAATATACATATGTATATATATTTACTGAGTAACATTTACTAAGTATTATATATATATATGCGTTATATATTTGTATAAGCATAAAAAAAATTAGCTATCACACCATTTGTGCATAACTGCAGAGTGCGGAAAGGATATGACACATGTCCTATCAACATGTTGTTAATAAAGTTTAATGATTTTGTCACACTCAATATATATGCATGTATATATATATATATATAGAGAGAAATGAATTTTAAGGTATATCTTATTCTCATATGCAATGTCTTGTCAAATGCAGTAACTCCCTTAAGGCTTTTGAACGTTACTGTAGCATATATAATAAACTAAATCTAGATACAAAAAGTGGTTCATCCTTTAAAACGGATTCAATTTTCTTTATTTATTTTATTTACTGCTAGGAGGCATATTAAATTTGCAATTGCTTGTGCAATATACGAAGGAAACTGAAAGCAATGTATATAGTCTTGAGAAGAATAAGATTCAAAATCGATCGATCCAATGGCTTTTGTTTTGTTTTTTTTTTTTTTTGCAAGTAAAAGAGTTATTTGGTTTCTCAATTGCCAACTGTTACACTCAACTGTAACAAATGTAATAACAATGAAATCATTATGGGTCACTTGTGCAGATGCACAAGTCGGTATTTCAAGGATGGAAAGATATTACAATGTGCTTCTCCACATTTACATCGGCAAGAACAAAAACAGAAGTCAAATTTGTGAAAATTATGTTAAAAATATTTTTTTTTAAAAATTTTTAAAGAAAACTAATTTTTAGAAACCATTCGTTTTGATCAAGAAGCTCATATGCTTTTTGGTCTAATATTTTCATTCAAGTTTGCTTAGAATAGAAACGTGAATCAAATTTTTTAAAAGTCTTAGCGAAGCCTACTATACTATATCTACGTATACTATACCTACTATATTTATTTTATAAACAGGCTTAAATAATGGTCAACTTAAGGAACTAAAAGAGTGAAATACATCAAATGCAAAGACCTTGTAAGGCCTTGTTTGTAGGGATTACACACTAATCGAAAATGTTGACATACCTAAGCAGGATCGTTGTCTGTCTCTTCGCGATCTAAGAAGCAATTACGCATTTGAAGCGAAGAAGCAAAGTAGAACTAACATAACTACGCTTGCGAAACCAGGTCATGCTCTCACACTTTGATAGTATTTTGGACCGTAAGATTTCTTAATAATCTTAATTAACTAAGCATCGTACTGTTTATGAAGGCAAAGACGTTATAAGTCGTAACGTGGCCTTTAAAACCCACGCCATGTAAGACATATCTTTCAGAGCGGAAAAGAGCAAGAGTTAGTGGGATTACCCGCTACCTAGTAGTAAATTTTTGACCTTTACCGACTGAGCGCTTACTATTGTTGCGATCGCCCTGACTTAATACTCGCTATTCTTATTTACTCGACTACTCATCCGGATAAGTTACTTCTTTGATGGTGAAACTTCCATTAGATGCCATGAGGTTCCTTCAGTTTTTTTAGTACTAAAGCCAAATGCTTCTTAAGGATTTATGAGTTATTGTGTAAACTTTACCAAACAATACACTACCGAAAAAGTATCATCCCTTAGCCTGCCGATCATTCATATGCAAGCGAATTAGATTCATGATCAGAGCTTAGGAATATATCTTTGGTAGCATTGCGTTAATTCTACCTAAGCTATGCATAACATCTCTCTTATTTGTACACTCTTACGTGTGTATGTGCAATTTTTTTATTTACGATTTTAAATGAGAATATACTTACGCACATAAAATATATTACGTAATTGTGTTGAATTGAATTTTACGTTTTTAAATTATCATCACTATTCAAATTTCTATTCAATTTATTTTCTTCTTTTTTCTTTTCTTTTCTCCCTCTTTAGATAAAAAAGAAACCGCGACTATTTATCAGTGAAGTCTTTTGAAATAGTAGAAATGTAAGTACGCACATATGTATACGTAAATGTTATGAAATTCTAAGCGTGTAATTTTCATTTTTTTTTTTTTTTATTTAAAAGCTTTTCTTAAATTGATTGCGAATAATTTATTTAGGATAATGATGTACGAAATCTACACCATTTAAATATATTTATATTTACATACTTAATGGAATTTGCACACATGCAACAGCACGATTTCTACATAATGGAGTGCTGGATGATATGAGAATTTAAGTGGCCCACTTTTGTGTTTTCTTTAGCCATTCTTGCAATTAATAAAATGATTATTATATCGTAAACCACTTGTGTTGCAGATGCATATTAAGTTGGTACGGATTTATGCTATACCAAGACGGACTTGGGATAGAATAACTTTCTGAATCGATCTAATCTTGTCTGTCCGTCTGTCCGCTTTGTTTCTTTGCGTTCATCTAAGAGGTCGAAATTTTTGAAATATGACGTATTTTGGCCCAAAGACAAACATTAGCAGAAATTATTTGGGTCGGAACATTTTTTCGACTTTTCTCGTCGTCATATAAATAACTCTATTAGGCGAAACGGTGTAAGGTATTTGATGATGATGGGCCGTGCTCCGCTATAATCTTTTTATTTGCTTTATATAACTTTTATGAAAGATCGACAAACAATTTATTTGCTTAAAAATTTTTTTCCTATTGAGGATGAACGTCTTCGAGGAGAATAATTTTATTAAAGTTTTTTAGAATATCCCTAACTAATATCACCGACAAATGCAAAAATGTTTGCTACAACAACAAATACTTATTAAACAATCTAAAATTCCAGGTAATTCAATAGAATCCGTCGGTAAGTCCTTTATTAATTGTTAGTGACGATTGTCAAAAATTAAAATTTCGCATAAAACGAGACCCGCCCATAAACATGCTTAAGATAATTCTGAAAGCATTATTCTTCACATCTTGCCAAGTATGACGGAAAATGGCTAAAAACATTTAAACAAACAGAGCCAAGTTACGTACTTTTAAGTGTGTCTCAAGAGATCAAAGGATTTGTGTAAACTTTCACACAATAGTTTTTACATAAAACGTTCACACTGCTATTTCGACTTTATAGCTTTTACTATAACATAATATATTAATAGCCAGTGTATTCACATATGTTTTGTAAATATATACATTTCTTAATTACTCAAGGGGCAAGTATTCACGATTCATCATCTATATGCGCGTAAGCACGCTAACAGTCACAGAAAAAGAAGAGAGGAAAGAACGATATAGTTATGCCTTTACCGATCGAACGTTACATACACTATAATTGCGGCCGCACTCGAATCGTACTTAAAGTCCGGTCTACCGCATTGAGCCGACATATCAGGTGAGCCGAGTTTATAGTTGTGCTTCAGTTACTGTCGTCGAAGATCCTTTGAGGAATTTATTTCTCAACTATATAATTATGAAGACTTGTGTGTCAGATTGTTTCGCGAGCCTATTTATTCATTCTTTTCAATAGTTTCATCATACATTTGTCTGATGGCATATTAAAGATTTGCCGCCGCATCATTATTTATGTCTTTTAATTGAAGAATGATTACCTGAAAGTGACCTGGATAAATAACATTGATGTCTTGTTTAACATCGCATGGAACTGTTATAAGAAACGGACAGTAAAATAGAGAAGGAAGACAAAAGAGAAGAGAATGCTATAGGATTCGAACAATGAATATGATAGAATGATTTATGCCAATATTCGGGAAGAGTTAGGCAAAAGCAAGCCCAACAAAATTTGGAACAAAATATTTTTACTCCTCAGCAACGTTTTTGACAATAATTTTCAACGGCTTCTGTAATCTCTTTATAGTGAGAACCATCAACTAAAGATATCAACCGCAGCAATCTTAAGCTCTTCTTTCTGGAAGAAAGATCAGAATGGACAAAAGTGGATGAATTAGTCGCGTAAGGTGGCATACGGAAGAGTTTCGTTTGAATTGCATTCGATAACAGATAGGTGAGCTGACGATTTCTTTTGATCTTCAACTCGATAGCTTGTGCGGTCTTATTTAAGCTCCACATGGCAATATTTTGTTTTTATTAGAGTCTAGTGCTGCTTTGGCATCACGTTGGTTACCTGTGTCGTAAGAGTGTTGCAGCACATTGCAGTTAAAAAATGTCTCTTTGTGTTTGCGTCTTCCTTTCAAGATATCATTGCTGATTGCTGCAAAAAAACTAAACTACACAGTCTAACGTCTTTAAATTTCATATTTAAACTTTACACTACTAGCACTATAGAGCACAAGGGCAATTTTTATCCAACAAAGTCTGGCATCTATATCTATATTAGTTCATAATTATAGTTGCTATAGAAGATTGAAAATAAATTATAATGAAATGGCAAGTAAGAACCGCATTTTCTTCGCTCACCGATGCTCGTGCAGTCGAACACTTGGGAACATTCGTATGTTAAAAGTTATATTTTCTTTTTTAATCGCCAAATTTAACCTTTTTTTCATTCCTGTGGTAGAAAAATAAACGTAGATATATGGGAAGTATTACCATTACGCTGTAATCAAAAATCTGTTCTTTGAAAAATTTTGCCATACGCTCGTACTTCCAAGAAGTAGCTATAGGTTCACACACCAAAATTTTTAAAATATCAAAATCGTTGTACGCACTATCTGCGAATTTATTTCAATTGTATTATTCGTTTTTAAGTTTAAAGTGAACATAAAAGTTGTGTTAATCAAAAGTTCTTTTTTATGCTTTTACTTATTATGTTTGTTTTCAAATAAGTATATATATATATATATATATATATATATTCCTGGAAATTGAATTATCATATACGCAGTTAATAAAACTCTTGGATATTTTCAACACATGTTGTTGAAAGGAAAAACAATGAATTGAAGAGTTACTTGGCTTAAAACGAATCTAGAATGCTCATCATGGGCAAAACCTATTCTTCTGATTTCGACGCGAAAATTCAACATAATTCAGTTAAAGTCAATGTCAAAAACAGCCAGACCTGAAAAGATTAAATTTACCGCTAATTTGGAGATTTTCAATAACACAGTTTTTCGATAAAATTGATTTGATTTATGAAAGAAAGGAGGGAAAGGAAGGATGCATATTTGGGATTCATAACTGGGATGAACAGACAGAGATAGAGGAATAGATGAATGAATGAAGGATGCATTCTATATGTTGGAGAGTAACAGGGAAGAAAGAAGAGAGAGGAGAGGAAGAGAGAGCTAGAAATAACAATAATAAAAAGTAAAGCTCAGTTTTCCAAGGAACTGTGGCCTTGTAATAACCTTAATAAATGTTTACTTCAAATTTTAGGTCCACATCCTTCAGGCACTGTTTACGCCGACATTATACCTAATCCAAGCCCCTCAATAAAGGATATACATCCCACATTTAATCTTCTGCTTGGAACAGTCAACGGCCAGAGACCTTTTCATGGCTATATCGATTCAAAGGAGCTCAGAACTGCACTTTACTTCAGGGCTTTTATGCTTTATATGGTTTAAAAATGTTTGAGAACTTATGCACGCTACGTGAACTGTGGCAACTATTTTTGTATATTATATACAGAATGGCAAATCCAATATACTTTCATCCTTTGGTGGTAGCTATAGCAATATATCTAAATAAAAATTCATGTGAACGCTTATGCGTGAGTATGGTAATTAAAGCATGTTTTTTTTTTTTTTTTTTTTCTCAGGAAACTTGTAAACATAAGCATAAAAAAAGGTGAAGTAGATAACAAATTATAATGTGTACATAACTTTAAAGAACACAATGGAAAGCTGAAGAGATGATTGCTCTTGGCTAATGGACCAATTTTAAAATAATTTAAAATAATTTTTTTTTTTTTTTTTCAAGTTTATTTGCATTCAAGAGAAAAGTCTGCTTAAAAAGAGACTAACATGGAAAAGTAAACATTATAGTGTAGAGCTACTTTATGCGTTAGACAGCATTGAAATCTGTTTGAAGTATTCATCTTTTCTTCTTCTTTATAAAATTAATTTTCAAAAGATATGCTTTCATTATCTACAACCATGCACTCATACATATATATATATGTATTTTATAAAGATTTTCTCCTATGGCAAATATAATTTGTTAAAATACATGTTTACAGGTCACTAACCATTGTATCCATAATAATTCTCTTTCATTTCTTTCTTTCAATTTTCCGTAAAAACTAACGTTGCTGACATTCGCACATGCTTGCATATCAGTTATACGCACTTGTGGTTTACTTTGATACTGTGTGTTAAATGGCTTGGTTTTAAAAAATTGAAGAAAATAGAAAAAGATGTAAAAAAAAAAAAAACAATTACTTTTCATGCACTGAGCATTTGCTGACTCGCAAAGAAATCGAATTAGTGGCAATATATGCAAAAGAAAAAATATATAATAAATAAATAAATAAATAAAAGATTTCATTCCAATCATTGAGTTTATGACTTCTTTCCATAGGAGAACTTGAATAAGACGAAGAACTCTAACAAGAAAACCGTTTTTCTCTCATAATTTTTGCTTAGTTATTTCAAAGCGCTCTTGCAGCGTTTTCAATTAGTAGCATATCAGCTACCACCAATCACCCACGAACAGCCAAACACCAACAATTCCACAAAGAATAAAAGTTCAGAAATGCTTTCACAATGGCTTGAAAATATTTTCAAATCTCCAGGATAATCATTTCATTGGCTGGTACGTCTGCTTGTTCGCTCATTAACTGAAATTCGACAGTTCTTTTATGCGCCAAGCAAACTTGTGTCACTCATGTCAAAATCACTCACATTCTAATGTTATTGCTTTGGTTATAAAATTTTAAGCTTTCTTCACTTAGTGTGGTGTACTGCTTTATGAATTCCTTTCAGCAGAACAAATTACTATTTTTCACAAAAAATATAATTCGAACGTCATTTGCGCGAAGTTTTTTTTATTTATTTATTTTCAGTAGCGAATGTGGTCTAAAGTTAAAAAAATAAATAAATATTTACAGGATTA